CCCCCCCCCCCCCCCCCCCCCCCCCCCCCCCCCCCCCACCCCCCCCCCCCCCCCCCACCCCCCCCCCCCCCCCCCCCCCCGCCCCCCCCCCTCTGTTGCACAGTACGAATAGTCTATCTTTTGAAAGACATCCATCTTAGGATCGAACTGTCGTTTTGCTGATTGTTAGAAAAAACGTTTCAAATAGTTGTTTCTTCTGAAAAAGTTCATAAGATAGAAGTTAGCTATAATATGATGCGTGTTTTATTATTCTCGCATACTGGTCTTAAACTATTTTCGTTATCCGAATATTCTTTTTATCTTGTTCTTTTTGGATATGAATTCTACGAAATTCAGAAGTAATAGATCATGACGCTTTTTATACGTTGATAGGAACATTAGTGTTGTCTACCCTTTGTTAATCAATTTTTCGTTGTTGCTGTGTATGTTTTAACAAGATTATGACCATTTTTGATTGAAAGGAATAAAGCACTTGTTTCAGATAATTCTATACAGTCGTTATTGTGTATATTGATACGTATAATATGTCTAAAAATTTGAAACATAAGGTAAGAACGTTGACCCAAGAAATTTGATTCAAATATCTTTCACAATTTTTTTATTTTGTTTTCTGCATTATATTATATAACTGATTTAATTCATATTTTGTTGTAGGATAGCGATCCTGGTTGTTCTGATTTGGCTGAATATGAAGAAGGACAAATCAGCGACCACGAGGACGAATCCCAACAACAACAACAACATTCAAATATCGAAGGAATTGATGATGAATTAGGCGGTGACGATATAACAAAGTTTCCTTTTCGCTGTGATACTTGTGGTGTTGGTTTTTTAAATCAGCATTTACATGAAAAACATGTGCAATCACATGTTAAGGTAAACAAAAATTGATTATGTCAATTTTTACTTGTTGAATGTTAATTATTTTGTCTATTTTAGTGTACAGAATCCGGTTGTTTATATACGGCATCCAAAAAACTTGTTCGCATTCATCATCAAAATGTAAGTATACCTGCTAATCAAAAAGTTATGAACAATTTTCTAACGTTTTTCTCATCGTCTTTCTAGCTTCATGAAACTGGATTATGGAAGCGTGTTGGTAATTTGAGCACAGCTGAAGATATAGCTCGTTATATTTCAGAACGTCGAAAGTATGATTGTTTCTTATGGGATAACTTTATATTACATTCCATTTATCTTTAAAATCTTAGAAATTATCCAACGAGTGAGAATGCAAATAAGAAAATGAAGTATGCTGAAGAAAAACGCGAACGTGGTGATGTTCTAGAAACGCGACAATTTGGGTAAGTTGAATGATTACTCTTTTCACTCTTTTTGACTATCCTGTATAACAGAATTTTGTAGACTTGAGATATTTTTTACAATCATTTTCTTTTCTGTTTTTTTTTTTTTTGTCACTCTCTTAGACGAATGAAAGATCGTACCATGGCTCGGTCTAAAGATACAGAGGTAGTATTCATTTTCCCTTCAAAAATACTGTAAATTACAAAATGAATACAAATTTAAATGAATATCAAGTAAGAAATTTTTATTTACTTTTTATTTTAAGGCAACTTCATCATCTAATGCATCAACAGCCACAGTTTCATCTACAAGTATAAATGCAAGTTCAAATCTTCGTCCAACTCTTTTAGAACGAGTAAGTGATTTTTGCTTGATTTTAATCAGTCCCAGTTAACATTAAATAATCTATTCTTTATTTTAGTTATTAGCACCTGATATTCGTCATGAGCGTAATATTGTTTTACAATGTATTCGTCATATTGTTAATAATGATTTTTTTGGATTAGAAAAATAAATATAATTTAACGACAAACATGAAAGAAACATAAAAGGTAATTAATTAATTTATACTTAGAATTATAAACCATTTTTTTAATGATTTATTTAGTACTAATGATTCTTTTTTAATTTTTATCATTTAGTCATTACCATCATAATATGGAACGATGACCAATGCGTGCAAAATTATATTATTTTTTATTGCAGATCTTGCTGGTATGTTTATTTCTTTTTTCTTTCATCTTTTGTTTTTCTTCTCTCTTGTATTTTGTCAGCTAAACATGTAATAGTGTTTGTGCTTTTTTTTTTGTTTTGTTCTAAAAAAACTGTACATACGTATGGTTTTTCTTCTTTTTTTTTGTTTGTTTCTTTTATCAGCGTCAGTATAACAAATGTTTTGTTTTGTTTGTTCTTACTATACGCTATAAAATTGTATTACTAATAAAGAGAAAAAGACGAAAGCGTATACTGATGTTTGTTTCTTTCTTTTCTATGTTGATACCTAGTACTTTGTTTCATTTTTTTTTCTTTTTTTTGACTTGTTTGTACTTTTAAACTACGATGTGTGTCTTTTACTGTTGTTCTTCTCTGTTCTTTTGTTTTTTTTTTCGTTTCAAGTTACTTGTATTGTTTGGAAGATAAATTGAAAACGAAACGACAGCTCTGGTTTCGCTAAATCACACGATAGCAAAAAAAATGTCTTTAAATATACATTACCATCTTTTGTTTAATTATAATATTTTAGAAATAGCATGTAATAGAAAAACAAGCGTTTTTACATGCACAAAATTAATCGAACAATTAACAACTTTCCTATTTAGTAATCATAGTTTATCTTTGTGTAGAGTAAATTAGAAAAGTTGACACGTAAAATGAAAGTGAAAAGCGAAGTATATTTTAGAAGATTTCTGCAGTATACTCTTGTGTCTTAGTACTGATTTTTAGGAAATGAGTTGATATTATTGTTGTTATTAAATCTGCAATTGATATATAGTATTTGTACGTAGAGAAATTCTTAGAAGAGTAAGCTATTGTGATTATTTGATTTATTATAAAAGTTAGAAAGTTTAGGCTAGAATGTACTGTTCTTTCAGATAAACGAAATTTTTTTGAATAGACGATATAAAATCAAATTTTTTGCGTACAATCGTTCAGTAGAGAAAATTTGAACAATACTCAATGGGATGTAGCTAACTAAGATCTTTTATAAGGATAATACTACTTGATTAGCAAACATTCGCATGCTCTTCAGTACAATATTGAACGGAGTCTCTTAAAAGCAAGGCGACAAATGTCACTTCTTGATAGAAGCGTAATTTAAGATGACAGTTCAGCTTATGATTAACAGCATTTCTACTAAATTCTAGGAAAAAATAACATTATCTCGCCTGAAATTTGTAGAAAAAAAGTGATTTTTGTTTCGAGTTAAAAATGGCTATTGTCAAGTTTTTCTATCGAGATCAATATGACATAAACTGATTATCTGTTTCTCAAATTACTTGGTATAAAATTTCATTCTCAAGCGTTACATCGACCTGTTGTATCCATGCCCTATTCTATTTTCTTCCAAGGAAAAAGCTATTTGCTTTTCTATTATACATTTTTTGTAAGATTGTTGTGTATATATATTCTTTTTGTAGAATCTAAGTTAGTTTAATTTCATAACGGAGAGGTAAAACAGGTGCTGTGATGATTTACGTAAATGGCTAATATGTTTCTGGTGGAAGGAGATATGAATTAAAGTTGAACTGAAGTTAGAAAGAGTCTGAGTTGAGTGATTTATGTACGGTGTTAAATGAGCGTTTAATTACCTGGCTTTCTCTCATTTATACCGACATAATTTTCTAAGAACAGAATTCTATACTTCTATGTGAACGAATCTTTGTTTAGAGGTAAACAAAAGTTCTAAGCTATCTCGAATAGTAAGATGTATTAGGGTAAGAAATTTGATTGTCATCTTGGTTGGATAGATTTAGCGATTTCTCAGGCATATAAATCAGAAATGAATGAGACGATTTTTGTCGTCAGAGACAAAGCGATGTTCTAAATCTAAGAGTAGGTTAAAGTGCTTTCTTGAAAACACTATGTCAGATTCTTTTCAAGAGCTTCCAGCCATCAATGAATAATAATTTTCTGATCAGCTGTTGTTCTTGCTGATAAAGATCTTTTCTGTCCTGTCTATATGGAACGACAGCAGACATATGCGCGGTTGCACGGACGCCGGCAAAACACCGATCGCCGATGTTGCAGAAAGCGAGAAATTTCTGGATAATCGCATGCTGTCGTCGCCGCTGAAATAATTGGCGTCTGACAGGATCAAAAAAATGTCTCGTGTTCTGTAATTACAAAACGTCATATTCGTTTTTTCCGCTGTTCCCTCAATCGCACTGCAATCTTAAGCTAGTCTTGACGATTATTTGCTAATAAGTTACGAGTTACGACAGATAATGATAGCTAATAATAATAATAGTTTTGGTAAAGGAAAAACATGTACGCCACCCATTTCGAAATTTTTTAATCTCACACCGCTCGCCATCGTCGAACAGAAAAGTTTGCGCCGCCGCCGAACATTTTTTCACCCGCGCACATGTCTCAACGAGAGTTATCACTAGATTGAATGGGATGTGAAAAGACCTCATGTCATGGACGATGGAACCACGAGGCTCGATAGGCTTGAGTATTCCTAGGTTTCAAGATAAAACGATAGGTTTTTCATCTAAAGTAACAAGGATATTTTAGTTAATACCGTAACTATAGAGATTTTTTAACGTTTTAACCTTGAGATGGTGTGCGAAAAAATCATACTAGACCGAACAAAAGTTTTGTTTTTAAAACCATACTATTTTCGAGCGGGACACCATGCTGCCCACACTTCTGATACAAATAATTATTTTAATATCAATAGAATGATATAAATAACTCGAAATTTAGAAGCTATTAAATGTGAATAAATCTGGGTGATTTGTTTTTCAGTGCTCTAAAGCTTCTAATTTATTTTAAGACTTATGTATAAAAAAAAATAAAAGAAATTGACAATTGTAGATAGTCGAATGAATTAACATGAAGTATAGTTTCATCTCTTCATAGTTATATATGAATAGATTAAGCGTCATCTAAGAACGTTGAGACAACTTAGAAAGATATTTTGTCAAGAATAAAGTTTGCTCGAGTTATAAGGTGCGCACAATGCAAAATTAAAGTAAAATTTTTTTTCTTAATTTATTATACATCGTTGGATAGAGTTCATCGAGCTGATTAAAAAAATGTATTTTTTAATTTTTCAAAATTTTTTTTCATGTC